TAATTTCAGTTGTGTGACCAATATAAAATAGAACCAATAAAAAACAGGAGTGTTACTACTGAAACAACATGCAATAAAATGATTGTAAAGAATGCTATCAACTTCTAGATACCCAAGTATGAACTATTTTCTTTGTGGGTGCATTGCAAAATATTTACAATAAAAAATCCTGCTTTGCAGTTATATATTTTACAAATTCTTATTGAAAACCATGAATTCAAATATCTGTAGGGTAAATATCTAAAAGCTCAAGTACTCTTATAATTCCTAGTGATAAGCTTTCTGATTTCATTTTCTTGGAGTAAAAACTTCAGAATCCACCCAGAACACCACCCCAAACTTCCTGTCATCTTGTTCTATCTTCTATTTATAAATTGTTTTGCACCTCAAAAGCAAAAACATCTAAAACTGTACAACTCTTTTTCGTTTTTGTATCCTCTTAGGAGCTTGAAAAGTAGTTGGTGTCAATGACACCCTTAAACAAAGCTAAATAACTATTTGCTCTGAGTTGATGCTCAGTTTTGAAGAGATGATTATTTTGCCTCTTTCCCTCTCTCTTTGGTGAGGGATTGTTCTCTCTAATCTCCAGCTTGGAGAGTTTGTCTAATCAATCAAAGCAGAGCTTGAATTACTTTTAGGCTACCTGGGTAGGGAATTCGCTATAGATTCATCAACAATAGTAATATTTCAAATAATATATCAACAGAATGGGCTGACTAGCAGGAAAACAGGGTTCAGAGAGGCAAAACTGTTGAGAGAATGGCTTGGAGGATTTGTCAATCTGGCAACTAGAATGATAATCTCTGACAGAAATTTCCCAGAGCTAAAGTAAAATAGGTTCCCAGTTACCAGCTTTCCTGATCTGATTGCAAAGTTACCAAGCCAGATTTATCTTGTTTCTTAATATTGGGATGGAAATGAAGAGGGTGCTTCAGATAAGGAACACAATCTTTGTGGTCACTGGAAAGTAGTATATTTCTATTGCAAAATAATAAATTAGCAATAAAAGTACTATATCAGTTTTGGGAGAATTTAATTGACAGGAACCATTACTGAGAGCCTGCATTTCCTAAGAAAGTTCAATATCTAGATATAAAGCTCAAGGACCAAAGTCCACCTTAACAATTTGTTGGTCCACTGCCCTATTAAAGCTCTAATCTGACAACATGTCCCCAAAACATCCCCATCGCCTATCAATGGTGTTTAAATATTGTCAAGACAACATGTTGTTTTGGCCAATTTAGTCAATTGGCCATTTTGGATAATTTAGTCAAGCTATTCAATGTAGACATATCAGTGAGTGGAAATGTGAAATCATTTAGCTGATATTTGGAATATAAACAAAAAATACAGATAATTTTTATTTACAATTTTTCCACCGGTTGGGTTACACAGCATTTGAGATGCTCTTTGATAGAACTAGGGCACCTTTTTCAAGCTTCTAGTCTGAACATGGTGCTCAGAAATGAAGGTGTCTTTGGGGCAAAGGGAAATTAGAACTCTCTCGTCTCCTTACGTTCTTGGGAGCAGTTTCAGCTGGAAGCAACTGGTCTCAAGAATGTACTGAGTCAGACATCCATCATTCATCTTACTACCTCAGTTCCACCTTAACTTACTTAATAGTTCTCTCTGTCACATTTCATGTGATGCATACCCAAACAGTTTGATGCAAATAGTCACTCATTTTGGGCATTGTGACATTTCACAGAGAGTTACCCTCCTTTTAGAGACCCCCAGGTTAGGAAAAGACCAGTGACAATTAAAGCAAGGCTTCTCTTTGGGTAAGTAAATTAAAGAAAGATTGGTATAAAGTATGTATGTGGCTGTATGGGTGTGAATGGTGTGTGTGTGTGTGTGTGTGTGTGTGTGTGTGTTGAAGTTGAGAGAAGTGGCAATGATATTGGCACTTAGTGAGGTGGCTGGGGTTGGGGAAAGTTAAAATGAGTCCCAAAGACCTAGATTAGAAAGGAAGACCCATATAAATTAAAATCATTTCATAATATGTACTGCTAATCTTCGCCTCTATAACCAGGGCACGTATGTCCAGAATTTTTGCTCATTTTTGCATTTACGTATTTCTTTTCTCCTTTGAAATTTCATCTGTGTGTTTGGGTGGAGGTGAGGGGGCAAATAAAATTTTTCTGAACCCTATAACCTTCTAGCAGAAGAGGAATTCCTCTCAAGAACATGTACTTTTTTATTTTAGTCCTTTAAAATTTACTGTTAAGTAATCTCACAGTAAACAACAGGTATTCATTAGAAAAATTAATTTAATGTGATTTACTATTGTTTAATTTTGCCAGGTCAGCTGCACTTGTCCTGCAGAGCTGCATAATTTATTCAAATGACCTGAAACTTTTTAAGTAAGTCTACTGGCAGAAAAATTATTCCCTACCCTCGGGAGAATGAACTTTTTGTGTTTTACTGCTTCCCAGGACTGATATTTATTTGACTCTCAAGTGTATTTACATTGTTGGCTTAACTTGGAGTTCTTTGCTGAATCAATAATATACAGTATTTCTTTCTTCAAGTGGTGTCAATGTTATTGCTATTCCTTTTATAAGCTTTTCTCCTTAATTGTCTGCAGTTATAAAATTTTTCTTTGACTTGTCTAAAAATTTACTCCTAAGATTATGAAGAAGCAGAGTAAATGGCCCTTTAATCTTCTGGGAAATACGTGCCTCTTTAAACTTTATTTACGTCAGAATTTACTGTAATGAAGGACAAAAGCTCTAGACAAGGTCCCCTGCTCTTTGGGGGTGTTCAAGGCTAGGTTTTCTGGAGATAAGCCTGTAATTTGTTTTCATAGTTTTATAGCTCACCTCCTGGCTGTTTCTTTGCAAGGGGCATAAGCGGGGACTAGAAAAAGAGCAGGGTGAGAATGTGACCAATGGTAACAACTCAGGAGGCCCTGGCCTGGAAAAATCCCCTTTATGTGGCAAAGACAAACATTTGAAACGGAGGGAGAAACCAGGTTTAAACGAGTGAAAACGGTTTTCGTCTCAGCTTTCCTGCACATATGTGCCCGCTCATCTGTTTCCGAATCATGTTTTCCATCATTTCAATAGAGCCCCAGACTCAACTTAATCTGTCCAGAGAATAGGAAACAAATATTTGGAGATTTAGTAAAATGGTGCAGACATATATTAGGGACATTTTGACAATGTTCAAACCGTTTACCAAAAGAAACTTTATGATGGCCTATGCAAACTTTTGAATCCTACTGTATTTTTGATACAATGATAACTTCTTCTCACTGGTCTCATCTGCCTGTGTGCTACAGTATTGACTTCAATATTAATGGAGAAACAGACAACTATCAAAAGCCATGTGCTTTGTCTCATGCCATTTGCAATTTTGTCTTCTGTCATCAGTGCTGACTTCTTGTTCTGCTGAACTCCATACTTAGGTGTCCAGCTACTTTCTCAGAGCCTGCTCTCATTGTTTACCTGTGGCCTGCAGCATGGACAGGTACATTCTTACTGCTTATCTGAAAAATATGATCCATAAAAATAATTTGAAACTTTTTGCTCATTTAAGTGTTCTGGGTTCTCTGGTTTTCTGTGCTAACTATAGAAAGCTACCTAGTCACAAGTTTGTCCTTCCTGTGGTCTCCATTTGGGCAATACAATTAAGAAAAATGCTTTTCCCCACATAACACATCTTGCAATTCTTTCCCCCTTCTTTGATGCTTTTGTAATAGCTTACGAACGGTCAGTGATTTTTTGTAAATGCCACGTTTCCTTTTTGCCAAGACAAAGAGTGAGACTAAGGGACCATCTAGTGCTTCCTCTTGTGGTATACAGTCTAAGCAGAGTGAGTTCTGATATTAATTTCCTTTGATTTAAATGCAAGTGTCTTCATTTAATAGCTGTGTGACCTCAGAAAAGTTATTAAAGTCTATGAGTTCTAGTTTCATGATTTGTAAAGCGGGGGCTAAAATGAATAGCCTGTAATAGCACCTACTATATGCTAGGCATGATTTTAAGTACTTTAAATATATTAGCTCATTTAATTTCCATTAGCTTATTTAAAATTCCTACTCCATGATGTAGGTAATTTATATCATTCTCATTTCTCAGATGAGAAAACTGAGACATGAAGAAGGAAAGTAATTTGGCCAAGGTCAGAATTAGTAAGTGGTAGAGCTGAGTTTGTAAAACCAGGTAGCTGGATCCGGGGGCTATGTACTAACCAGTGTGCTATATTGCTTCTTGATTAAATTATTGAGGATAAATAACTTATCACAGTGTTGGGCACATAACATTTATTGTCAGCTACTATTACCACTACCATTATCTGTTCTTACCTTTCTTCATTTTGTCACTCTTGCTTCTATTGGATTGGTTGTGTAGTTTATTGTTCGCATTGCCACAAGAAAACAGTAGCAACAGTGATCTAGCTTGAAATAACCACCTAATCCTTCTTCACTTTGTGTGCTTTGTATTTAAACTACGAATATGACAGAGACCTATAAAAGGATGACTAAATCTCTTTTCCATCACATAAAAATAATATATATTCCTGCAATCTCCAACCCTTCAGCAACAAGCCAACAAAAACTGCATAAAGTGAAGGAGACATTTTAGAAGTTGTAGAATTCAAGTAAAATTGCTACCATTCTTTAATAAACAGAAGTAAAAATTTTAGAAAGTAATGAAGGTTGGAAAAGATGATAAACAAAGACTGCTGCTATAATAAATTTCCTAGTCTCTACTCACTAATATCTTTTAAAATGCCAATATCAGGAAAAAAGGAAGAGAAAATTCTGTAAATAATTATTATATTCTTCACTTAAAGTAAGCCACTGAATTCAAAATTCTCTAACACATTTGTGGAAACTTCATTTTTCTTGTTTGAGATTTATTTGAATGAGCTGTTATGATTGGAGACAGTGAGAATTTCAGATTAATGTTTTGCAGACAAAAAAAAAAAACTCTCTGGAAAGCTGGCAAGTGTTCATAAGTCAGCCCTAGAATTATGTAGGTTGAAGGCTCCCAGTGGACAGACCAAACATATAAGAAGGAAACCAGAGATCTGGTGCTATTACGTCCCAGCGTCTGAGAGAACAAGTAAGCACAGAATTCAAAGCATTCTGTAGCCTGGATTTTTAAGGTAAGTATGAGCAATTTATGTACACTTTACTTGGAAAGTAGAAAATACATTAAATGAAATTTTCTTTTTATGGATTAACTTCTGATTTTCCAGTATTTTAACACTGTATTTTACAAAACTCCTGAATTATTCAGCTGCTGTTTCTCTTACAGGAGCACATTTAGGCACTAAGCAAGCTGATTTATGATAACTGCTTTAAACTTCAACAACCAGTAAGTCTTCAAGTGAGATTTATTATTGATTCTTTTATGTTAATTTGTTAGGTCAAAGGAAAAAGCTTTAGACAAAAACAAAAGTTTTGCTCTTTATTAGGAGGTTCTTTGGTTATTACAGTTTTAATTGGGTAGTTTATTTGTATGTATTTTGAAACTAAAGTAAATAATGTTTCCTTAGTATGCTTACCTTTAGCTATTTTTTTTTTGTTTTAAAATAATGTTTCTAGTGAAAAAAATCACAAAAGCATGAACACTGTGACATTTGAGAGCAATGGCTACTTAGCTCTGTTAAACTGAAAAGAGCAAAAGAGAAATAAGACTATATCATGATTAATCATTGATGTTCAATTCTCATTTCATTGAGCAATCTAAACTACTTCTACTTGAACCTAAAATAGGTTTGGCTATTTTTTCCTTATCTGATTTAGTTGAAAATGGATTGTTTATATACTAAATAGACTAAAATTAGATACCTATATCTAAAACTAATAATCTCTATTAAAAGGAGAAGACTTTTAGAAATATAAATATACTTCATAACTTCTTCAATATATTATCATAAAAACAATAGATAAGTAAAACTAAAGGAATTATTTTTAACTAGTAAAGATAAACCATGATTCCCCATCACAGTGTGTTTCTTTGGCATATTCTCTTTTAGTTTTTATATGCTAATTTTCTCCATTGCTTATATTACTTATATTTTCCATAGCTGTAATAATTTGTATGTAATTAGTTACTTGTATAGAGCATTTCTCTATGCAATAGCAGGCAGCATTGTGGTTTCTAGAAAGTATACAAATAGAGATATATACTCAAGTGTTTTTGAAAAATTAACTTTTCTTTTTTCTGGGTTTTTTATATTTTTTATACGTTTCTTACCCTGACTAATCTTTTGAAATATTAATTTTCTTTAAACCTTTCAAAAACATCATAGAAAAAATGGGCAAAAGGTACTTTTATTCAGAACTTTCAATCTGAAATGTCTTACTTTTTGCCACTATTAAGAAAAGTATTTCTCCTTTTTCAAGAGGTAAAATCCATTCTTGTTTTACAAGGCATGGCTCTGTTTCATAATGTTTTCTATAATCACTCACTTCTTTTTTGCTTTTGACAAACTTTCAAAATGCTAACGATTCAAGGATGTCCTCAGCTCTGTACGTGTTCTAAGAGTTCTATTTTTTTTTTCTCCACAGAAGGCATAAGCATTAGGAGCTGCTGACATCTCAATATGAAGGGCAACTTCACCCTTGCCACCACTGGAAAAAATATTACCAGCAGTCTTTACTTCGGGCTTGTGAACATCTCTGGCAACAATGAGTCTACCTTGAACTGTTCACATAAACCATCAGATAAGCATTTAGATGCAATTCCTATTCTCTACTACATTATATTTGTAATTGGATTTCTGGTCAATACTGTTGTGGTTACACTGTTTTGTTGTCAAAAAGGTCCGAAAAAGGTTTCTAGCATTTATATCTTCAACCTTGCTGTGGCTGACTTACTCCTTTTGTCTACTCTTCCTCTCTGGGCAACCTATTATTCTTATAGATATGACTGGCTCTTCGGACCTGTGATGTGCAAAGTTTTTGGTTCTTTTCTTACCCTGAACATGTTTGCAAGCATTTTTTTTATCACCTGTATGAGTGTTGACAGGTACCAATCTGTCATCTACCCCTTTCTGTCTCAAAGAAGAAATCCCTGGCAAGCATCTTATATAGTTCCCCTTGTTTGGTGTTTGGCCTGTTTGTCCTCATTGCCAACATTTTATTTCCGAGATGTCAGAACCATTGAATACTTAGGAGTGAATGCTTGTATTATGGCTTTCCCACCTGAGAAATATGCCCAATGGTCAGCTGGGATTGCCTTAATGAAAAATGTCCTTGGTTTTATTATCCCTTTAATATTCATAGCAACATGCTATTTTGGAATCAGAAAACACTTACTGAAGACGAATAGCTATGGGAAGAACAGGATAACCCGTGACCAAGTCCTGAAGATGGCAGCTGCTGTTGTTCTGGCCTTCATCATTTGCTGGCTTCCCTTCCATGTTCTGACCTTCCTGGATGCTCTGGCCTGGATGGATGTCATTAATAGCTGTGAAGTTATAGCAGTCATTGACCTGGCACTTCCTTTTGCCATCCTCCTGGGATTCACCAACAGCTGCGTTAATCCATTTCTCTATTGTTTTGTTGGAAACCGGTTCCAACAGAAGCTCCGCAGTGTGTTTAGGGTTCCAATTACTTGGCTCCAAGAGAAGAGAGATAGCATGTCTTGCTGGAAAAGCAGTTCTCTTAGAGAAATGGAGACCTTTGTGTCTTAAATCTGAGAGCAGAATGCATGTAATCAACATGGCTACTTGCTTTGAGGCCCACCAGAATTATTTTTAAATGGTTTTAATAAAATAAAATTTCCTTTAATCTAATGTTTTCTCAATCTTCTCAAACCAAATGTAACTGTTTTATCATCCAGTGACTTTCAGGAATTGTCCATTGTTTTTCTGGTATGTTTGTGCAAGATTGTCGTTGGTGAGACATAGTCACAACCTAGAAGTAAATGGTGATATATCTCAAATTGTAATTAATAGTAGATTGTGACTGATTATTTGGGGTTTCAGATTTCTCTTTGAAACATGCTTGTGTTTCATAGTAGGATTTTATATTCATTTTAATCAGATTTTCCTCTTGAACCAGGACCAGTCTTTCAACTCATTGCATCATTTACATTGTAAGAGAGATGAGCACTTCTAAGTTGAGTATAATAGATTAGTACTAGATTATTCAGGCTTTAGGTATATGCTTCTTACTTTTAAAAAGCTGTAAATTATATTCCTCTTGCATTTCACTTGAGTGTAGGTTTAGATTAAATCTATAACTTCATATTGAGTAGGTCTAGGAATATAGATTAAATCATACTCCTACATTTTAGCTTATTTTTACAGTTATAGAAAGTAAAATGTACTGTAACATAGAATTGCAATCAATAATATTTGTATGTTCACTAAATTCTGAATAAGCACTTGTTAAAAAACTTTGTATTCCTTTTAATAATTGTTTAAAGGGTTCTATTTTCTCTGATGATTTTTTGAAATCAATAACTAAACAGTGTGTATTGTTATAAAATGTAAAGGTCACTTTTTACATCATTGACCTTCTAGATGATGTGGTGTTTTGATATATAGGGCATTGATTTGATTTTTATTATTAATGCTTTAGTTCTGGGTTGTTTCTCAAAATATCTGGGTGGCTTTTTTTTAACTCTTTAATTTGCAATAAACCCTTAACTAGCATAGAAAATGGTATCCAGAATGGAATTTTGCTACCTGGGGTCTGGGTGGTGGCAAAGAGACCCACTCAATTACACGTTTGTTACCAAGCAAGGAACCTGTCAGGGCAGTGCAATGTGACTTTGAAAATATATACGTGGGGGTAGTTTTAACCTAATCTATAAATACTGTTTGTTCCAGAACCTGTATGATTCTGTGGAGCTATTTTAAATCGATTGCAGGTCTAGATATCTCCTTCTCAATGCTATTAAAGCTCCTACATTAGAGGAATGCCTGAAACTGAGTCACCTAAATTTTACTTAAAGTATGAATATTAATTTTAAAAGTTTGACACTTCATTCTGTATCAGCCCTGTATAATAACAGATTACTTAGTATCTTCCTCTGAGGTAGGTCTAAATACTGATATCTGAGGTAGAACTAGTGTTTTAGGGGCTCAGCATCTCTGCCAGGCTCCAGGGTTATAGACAGAAGAATCCTCTCATACTACTTTCTGGAAAAGTCCTAATTTCATGTAATCATTGTATTTTCAATGAAAAAAACAGTTAAATGTATAACCAACTATGATGTCATGTTTTAAACAATTTTGTAAAACATCTCATATAAATAAAATTTGTAATTGACAGAGCATGTGTGCTTTAAAAAAAAATTAACTACTTTCCAGTATATATTCTTACCTTCACTTGTATCTGTATCCTCCATTTTATCTCTACTGATACTGCTTAGTTTTAGCTCTGATTATTACTCACCTGACCTCTTGCCATACTATTCAAGTCTTCCTCTCTTGAGTATTCAGCCATAATTTCCTATTAGCTATGAAAGCAAAATCTAACTTTCTCTGAGTCTGCAAGACCTTGGGAGATGTGATTCTTCCTAGTCTCTTTAGACTTTTTCTCTCTGTCACCGCTCTTCAAAACCTATGCTTAAGCACCAAAAAATGACTTCATGCCTTTTAAAGCCTAATGCCCTTTCATGCCTCTCTGCTGTTGTTTACACAACTCTGTCTTCCTAAACACCCCTCCAATCATTCTCACCTCCTCAGGGCCTCACATTCAATTGATGAAAACCTGCTCAACTTTCAACATTCAGCTCATGCTATTTCCTCTACTATAATAATTATTATTATACTAATTATAATACTACATCCCTAGAATTTCCCTTAATGAATAGAATTGTTTCTCTAGTTTTTGGGATTTTAAGCCTGATTTCTGCTTTTATAGAGGCCCAAGACTGAACCCTGAGTAGCAGCCTCCAAATGGTTTTTCTTGGGACTAAGAAGGAATGCCAGTTGAGAGGATGGTACAAGAATGTGTGAACTCTTGCTTTAGGAATGTATGTTCAAAGGTATACTTGTCCGCTTTCTCTCTGAAGATGTAAATTTCAGGTAAGCTTCTCAGATAACAAAGGAAACTACTTTTCTTCTCATTCGGCCACTTTTCAAGGTATTACCTAATCTCCTTTCTTTGTCATGATCCTACCTTTTCTCAACTCATCCAACACAATGCCTGGAAAGCACATTACAATAACAATAGCTATTATTAGATGAGCATTATGTGTCAAGCAATATTATATATGCATTATCCCATTTTATTCTAAAAGTTACTCAAGGATTATTATTTTACAAATAAGGAAATTGAGGCACAGATGAGTCCTGACTAATATTTAAATTTGGTTCTGCCAGATGAATCAGGCAGTATCAATTATGCAATTTAGTACTTTAAATTTAAATTATAGGCTACCAAGCAGATATATCAGACAGTCTTACACACTCCTTCCACCTTCATCTTAAAGCTAGTACTTGAGCATCCCTAACCTCAGTAATACAATTGCTTCTGGGCAGTTGGTAGGTATATTTGCACTTATTAAGAAAAAGACAGGAGGCAGATGGATGAGGCTTCCTCCCTTGTTCTTCACTGCCCTTTCCTTGTATTCCATACTGTATGGAACCACATAAAGTCACCACTATCCCCTGTTGCCCCCTCTATCCTATATACAAAGCAAGACAGATACTTCAAACGTTTCCTTTAAGGAGCAAACATGTTAATATGAAATTTAGCTCTTTGAAATGAGATTGTATAGTGTTACCAGAGAAATTTATCTCTTGCATCTTGCAGAAGTAATGTGTATTTTTATTATGGAAAAGTAAATATTAATTATTTCCACATTTTATAGACCTAAATCAGATCTACTAAATAGATTGTTTTGCAAAATATCTTTTTTTCCAGACTCTTTGAGGCATGCATCAAAATCAAAAGCAAATCTGAAAGTAAGCAAATTATATTTTGACTTTTTTTCCTTCTTTCCCCACACAGGGATCTGAGGGTGGGAAACTGCCTGGAAACTACCGTATCAACAAGAGAAAACTCCAAACTTGACAAGATGAGTTAACACATGAGATGCCTCAAGCAAGAAAGGGTTGAGGGTTGAGGCAATAAAGATAACAGAACACTTATTTTGTTAATTTTCACATAAACTATAACAGCAGTGATAATTTATACAAAATAACAGAAATTCATAAATTATCACCAAAAATAATTATTTCACCTGCAAAAGACCAGTGGTCCAGAGATTAGTTAACTAGCTTACTCCATACACATACCTACAAAGGGATAGCACCCTGAAAAATAAATTCTTTCTTTTTGAACTTTTTTTTTTGGAATAAGAGAATTATTTCTAAATTAAAAAATAATTGGTATATATATTTCTTATTATAGAATCAACTTATTCTTGAAAAATAAAAATTTAGCTACAGAGATAATCATCACTAACAACATGGGGTAAAATTATTGTATACATATACACACATAGAGTACATATAAACAGATATAATTTATTTTTATCTCTATATCTGTATTCATATTTCTTTCTCTTTTTGTTTATTATCTATCAGATATGTTCTTTATCACTGTGTCATACATTTATTTAAATATTTAAAATATTTCGACCCTGAACTCCCATCTGGTGTACTAGACATTTTTCTTTCTTTACTCATTTGGTTCTCCTTTTCTATGATAAGTCCCAAATCCTGAGAGCTTTAAGCAATCCAAGAGATCACACCTGGTTATAATTTTCCAGTGAAAGAAAATACTGGAAAATCTGATAAGTCTGTTGGCCCATTCTCTGCAGCTGTTGTTGCTACATTATTTATCAGTTGGTCTGCATAAGAACAGATGTCTGAATTGTCTCATGCAGGCTTCAGTCTACTTAAGTAGTTTTGAAGTGATCTATGCATAAGCCATCTGATAAAGAAAGGCTCTTCCTTTCTCCAGTGCTACACTCACCTATATCTGATGTGTGCCAAGGTAGACCTGGGCTCAAACATGTATTTTGATTTTGCCACATCCATGGAGCCAGGAGCAATCAGCAGAAACACAGCTAGAGGAACATGCCATACAAGGAACCTGCCTTTTCTTCCCTTAAGTAAATCTCTCCTGTGCAGCTGGAGTCACATTTTAAATGTTTCCTCAGTAAAAAGGAGTATCCCTGATTGGGAGAGGAGGTGGGTAGTTAAGCTGTTGTTGCTTCTCCATGACATCAGTAGAGGCCATCTTAGCACATAAGATATACTGAAATAACTTTGAACTTCTTTTAAAAAAGAGTCTAATTCGTGATTTCTTTTCTCACCAGAAGGAAACCTAAGCTCAACATACCAATGTGTACAGAATACAGTTGGCACAGGCTCATTTGCCTGAAAAATTGGAATAATCAAACTGTTTCCAAGCCCTGATATTTCCAGCTATAGCCTTCTTTCACATATTTACTCTACATTCATATAACAAAAATATATGTGGTAGTGATTACAAAAAAAATTACAAAAAATCTTCTACTACAGCCATTTGTGATGTCCTAATAGCTTGAAACATTTGTGGATAACAGATTTAAAATGATGCGTTTTCTACCTCCGAGAAGAAAGCAAAAGCGTGTCTCATTGTATATTCTGTTATCTATTCTTATGGACTGAATTCTTATGGACTGTAACGTTCCCTAACATCCAAAATTCATATATTGAATTCCAACCCCCAATGTAATGGTATTTGGAAACTTTTTGGAGGTAATTAGGTTAAAGGAAGTCATAAAGGTGAAGTCTTAATCTTATAGGACAGTATTAGTATAAGGAAAAAAAGATAACTCTGTCTCTTCACACACTCACAATGAGAAAAGGCTATATGAGTATATAGCAAGAAGGAAGCTATCTGAAGACAGAAAGAGAGTCCTCACCAGAAACCAAACATGCTGGCATGCTGATTTTAAAATTTCAGTCTCCAAAACTGTGAAAAAATATATTCTGTTGTTTTAGTGACTCAGTATATGGTATTTTGTTATAGCAAGCTGATATGGTTTGGCTCTGTGTTCCCACCCAGATCTCATTTTGAATTGCACTCCCATAATTCTCACATGTTGTGGGAGGGACCTGGTGGGAGATAATTGAATTATGGGGGTGGTTTTCCTCATACTGTTCTTGAGATCTGATGGTTTAATAAGGGATTTCCTTTTTCGCTCAGCTCTCATTCTCTCTTGCCACTATCATGTAAGAAGTGCATTTCACTTTCCACCATGATTGTGAGGCCTCCCCAGTCACATGCAACTGTAATTCCATTAAACCTATTTTACTTCTTAGCTCGGGTATGTTTTTATCAGCAGCATGAAAATAGATTCATACAGTAAATTGGTGCTAGTAGAGGGGGTACTGCTGAAAAAATACCCCAAAGTGGAAGTGACTTCAAAACTGGGTAATAGGCAGAGGTGGGAACAGTTTGGAGGGCTCAGAAAAAGGCAGGAGGATGTAGAAAAGTTCGAAACTTCCCAAGACTTGTTGAACGGCTTTTACAAAAATGCTGATAGTGATATTAACAATAAGGTCCAAACTAAGGTGGTCTCAGATGGAAAGGAAGAACTTGTTGGGAGCTGGAGCAAAGGTGATTCTTATTAGGTTTTAGCAAAAAGGCTGGCAGAATTTTGCCCGTGCCCTAGAGAGTTTTGAAACTTTGAACTTGAGAGAGATAATTTAGGTTATCTGTCAGGAGAAATTTCTAAGAAGCAAAGCATTCAAGAGGTGATGTGGGTGCTGTTAAAGATATTCAGTTTTATAAGGGAAGCAGAGCATAAAAGTTCTGAAAAATTGCAGCCTGACAATGTGATAAAAAAGAAAATCCCATTTTCTGAGGGGAAATTCAAGCCTGCTGCAGAAATTTGCATAGGTAATGAGAGGCTGAATATAAATCCTCAAGACAATGGGAAAAATGTCTCCAGGGTGTGCCAAAGGTCTTCACAGCAGCCCTCCCATCACAGGCCTGGAGGCCTAGGGTGGAAAAATGGTTAAGTGGGCTAAGTCTCAGGTCCCTGTGCTAAGTGCAGTCTAGGGACTTGGTGCCCTGCATCTCAGCCTCCCAAACATGATTAAAAGGGGCCAAGGTATGGCTCAGGTTGTGGCTTCAGAAGGTGCAATCCCCAAACCTTGGCACCTTCCACATGCTGTTGAGCATGTGAGTCACAGAAATCAAGAATTGGAGTTTTAAAACCTCTGCCTAGATTTCAGAAGATGTATGGAAATACCTGGATGGTCAGGCAGAAGTTTGCTGCAGGGGTGGGGCCCTCAGGGGGAACCTCTGCTAGGTAGTGCGG